ATTTAAAGTATCCCCATTTTCCCCTTGATAATTTCAGTGTGCTATGGTCCCACCTCTCTTGAGCTCCTTCTTCCCTTTTATTCCCATATTTCCTTGTATAGCCCCCCCATCTCTGCCTTCCATTTAACTACCTCCCTTTATACACAAGTTTCCCTTAGTAACACCTCTCTCCTACAATTCTTCTCTCTCAGGTTCCTTCTTTCCCTTTACCTCCTTGGTTCCCTTCCATTTTCCTGGTTCTTGCAGTTATTTTAAGATATGTACTCACAAGGATTTGGTGCTAGGATCCACAAATGAGGGAGAACATCATCTGTTTTTCTGTTACTTCACTTAGTATAACAGTTTCTAGATCATCCATTTATCTGAAATTTTCATTATTTCATCTTTACTGCTGAGTAGAACTCCATTGTGTAAATATACCACATTTTTGTTAGCCACTCATCAGTTGAGGGGCACTTCGGTTGCTTCAGCTCTTAACTATTGTGAAAGGAGCAGCAACAAACATGGTTGTACAAGTGTCTCTACAATAGGATGAATCCTTTGGGTATATGCCAAGGAATGGTATAACCAGGTCATATAGTAGGTTCATTTTTAGTTTTTTAAGAGTTCTCTACACTGCTTTCCATAGGGGCTGCACCACTGTGTCAGGCTTGACAAATTTTATTTTTCAAAATTCTTGTTCAGTGTTTTATACATGGCAGAAAGCAGAGAGGAACTTTGGCATTTGTTTTTAAGGGGGCCAAGTATCTGAGTGAGTATTCTGAAGATAAGAAAACTAGAAGCCAAAGCTCCATGAGAAGCAGCCAACTGTCTCTTCACCACTGCTGTCCAGTGTGGGCCTTGGTCCATGGTACATTTTCAGTTCATAGATTTTAATTAAGGGAATATATTTTTATTGAACAGATTGAAGAAGACATTGTAGGAGAGAAATACTTTTATTTGGGCAAAGGTGAAGTGCAAAGACCTGAGAAGATATTAGGAGGGAAAAATGCTTACACACAGTTAAAAACAAAACAAAAGCCAGACGTGGTGGTACACGCCTTTGATCCAACACTCCCAAGGCAAAGGTAGGCGGATCTTTGAGTACAAGGCCAGCCTGGTCTACATAGTGAGTTCCAGGTTGGCCAGGGTTACATAGTGAGGCCTACTTACAGAAATCAAAAACAAAACAAAAAAACCCTGACCAGAGCTATGAGAGTGAGCAGGGCTTTGCTAAAGGGAGGTTTTTCAGATCATTTTTGCTGCTAGATGTAGAATTTGTGAGGGAGGAGTTTCTCTTTTAGCAGTATGAACTTGTAAAGAGTTAATCCATTGTCAGAGTAGCATTTTAAGTATCATCTAGATATATACAGTAGGTATAGTGCAGAAGAGATTAGAGATTAGATTTGAGATGAGTTGTGATTTTGGGTTAAGACTTCTTTGTAAAGTAGTCCAGTTCAGTAGAGCAGGTTTTTAAAAAATATAACAAATTAAGTAAAGGTATTTTTAAAATCCTCACGATTGAGTATAGTAACATGACTGTCTTTTTCAGGATTTATTTTCCATGGCATTTTGTTATTGCTCTTCCGTGGCTTTTCTATGAAATCTTGGTTTTGAGTGTATTTGTTCTTCCCTTATTTGCCTTTTGCTAATGTCAAACATATCACGTGAAACAATTCAGTGTTGCTATGCAACTGCTAAATTCAATATTTATTATTAATAAAACTGAGTGACGTTAACATCCAGTGAACAGAGGATAGCAAAGTATAGCTCTATAGTGTCCAGTCACTGTTTGGAAGGTTAATGTGCTATGGCAAGTGTGAACATTGTTTCTCTTGCTGGCTTGCTTTTTAATCTGGGTTATGGGCATTGCCCCCTACCCCCCAATATAAAAGTTAGGGTAGTAGTATCCCAGGCTGGTGTGGAACTTGCTGTGTAGCCCAAGTTGACCTCGAACTCTTGGCAGTCCTGTCCCAGCCTCAAGTGCTGGGGTTACAGGCATATACTATGCCCAGCTAGCTAGTCTTTTTTTCCCCTCGTTTTTTTTTTTTTAATCTATAATTTGATATTGTTTGCTAGTGTTTATGTATTATTGATGTTATTTCTCAGTTGACATATTTCAGATCCTATTCTTTATAATTTTAATTTTTATATTTTATTCTTATGTGTATAAATATATTGCCTGAATGTATGTAAGTGCACCCATATTGTGTAAGGCCTGTGGAGGTCAGAAGAGGGCATCAGATCTCTTGGAATTGGAGTTATGGATGGTTGTTAGCTGCCATGTGGGTGCTGGGTCTTCTGCAAGAACAGCTGGTGCTCTTAAACTGCTGAGCCATCTCTCTAGGCCCATGAATTTTTACCTTCTAGTGCCATTATTTCCTTCCCCCTTTTTCCTTTTTATTTTTCTAGTATTATTTCTTGCTATTTTTCCATTTTAAAAATTTAGTCTTAGAGCCTAGCATGGCATTCTAGCACACACTTATAATGCTTTGGAGACTGAGATAAGAGGATGAGTGGGATATTATCCTGGGCTACATACAGAAACCCTGTCTTAGAGACAACGTTGCACTGGAAAGATGGCTTAGTGGTTAAGAACACTGGCTGCTCTTGCAGTGGACCATGGTTTGGGGATCTCACACTCTCTCTGGCTTCTGTGAGCACTGCATGCACATAACACACTTAGACAAAACACTCATACACATGAAGTAAAAGTAAATAAATCAAACGATCAAAATTTTGCTTAACATGAAGGTTAGAATTTGTTATATTTTATGTAAAGCCAGGTGAAAGTATGCTCTTTAGAATAAAAACTACCTATAGTCTTTGTTAGCTGTATTTTTAGTGTATTTGCTATCTTCAAGCTATTCAAATGCTTTAATTCATATTTATAAAATAAAAATTTATTTTTGAAAAGAGTTGGAGACAGTCTATGAAATTTACTTGAAGGAGAATGGAAGGGGCAGTTGACTGTTACTGAGAATATCTAGTTTCCAGGACCAGAAATAACATGTTATCTAGCCATTCCTGTGTATCATTATACCACCACCTCCCCACCCCCCTTAGTCTCTAACTCCTTTTACCCTTTCTTCCTCTTTATATTTGGAAGAGGAAGAGGACATTGTAATTGATTATATTAGGTAAATAATCAGTCCTTAGATTAGTAATTTAATTTTGCTAATGCTTTTGGAATAAGTTTGATGTCAAGAACTAAAGAAAATTGAAAAATAATTGCCTCTTAATAAAAAATTTACAGTTCAAAAGATAATATATAAAAATCAACTCTGAAATTACAACACAAACTCCAGGTGCTACTCTTTTGAAAATGGTAGTTAATAGTAGAACAAAGACATTCCTTAAATTACAATATTATTTTTGTTGCCAGGCAAGATAACATTTCTGAAGACCATGTTTTCTACCCCCTTTGTTTCCAAATTGTATGATATTTCTACGCATTTGAAAAGTAGTGATGTATACCAAATGTATATGATATTAATTCTTTGTAAAGGTCACAGTTAAATGCCTGTGGATCCACAGATCCTTTGTAATAAGTATTTGAACTCACAGTGAGGCTCATGATACACTGTTTGGGGCCATTACTTCAACCCACTCTTTCTAGTAGGTTCTGTAAAGATGAGGCCTGATTTCCTCCCCTCCCCCTCCCTTGGATTTTTTTGAGACAGGGTCTCCCTGTAGCCTCAGATGACCTGGAACTCACTGCATGGACTAGGCTGACCTCGATCCCACAGAGCCCTGTCTGCCTCTGCCTCGTGTCTCTTGAGTGCTGGGACTAAAGGCATGCATCACATGCCTGGCCCCCTTTTTTCTTTCTTACCCCTTAAAAGTCAGTGAGATGCCTAAATTCATTTTAATTAAGTACATGGCAACATGTAACAGTAAGTTAGGAAAACTGCTGATAGGTTTTCGTTTTCTTTTCTTAAAAACTATTTTATTATTTGTTTTTGTGTGTATGAGTCGTTTTGCCTGCATATAAGTGCACCATTGTCACTCAGTGCCTGTAGAAGTCAGAAGAGAACATTGAATCCCCTGGAACTGGAATTATGGAAGGTTGTTAGCTGCCATGTGGATGCTGGGAATCGAATCTGGGTCCTCTAGAAGTGCAGCCAGTGCTCTTAACTGCTAAGCCATCACTCAAACCCCAGTTTTTAATTTTCTGTTTCTTTCCCACTGGTAGAAGAATATAATGATTTAAAATATTTTTGTACAGATATATGTGATTATTTTCTCATATTTCTGTTTGTATAAATATATTTTTATCCAATTATAAAGGAGCCAGCAAGGAGTTAATATGGCATTGTGAAATAATTATGTAAGTCTCTTATAAAATATTTGGGGCATGGTTATGAAAGGGATGTGAGAATTGTTTTTGAGGATTTTCTTCAGAATACTGATAACTTGAGAATTTAACTGCTATCAAATGTTCAAAAAAAAAAAAAGAAAAAGAAAACAAAACAAAAAAGACTATTTAAAAGTTATTCTAGAAAGTTTTGAAGCAATTTGACTCTTCATTGGAAAGGTACTTTTAAAACTGGAGTATTAGGACTGGAGAGATGGCTCAGCAGTTAAGAACACTGTTCTTGCAGAAGATCTGGGTTTGAATCCCAGTACCCACATGGCAGCTAACAACTGTCCATAACTCCAGTTCCAGGGGATCCAATAGCCTCTTCTGTCCTCTTTGGGCATTGCACAACACGGGTGCGCTCACCTACATGCAGGCAATACACCCATACACATAAAGTAAAAATAATAAAATATTTTTTTAAAACAACTGCACCTTCATTGGCTGTTTCTAGTGTGCATTTTTTGTTCTTGAATGTGCTCTGAATTTTTCTTGTGTTAATCATTGAGAAAAATGAAACATTCCTTGTAGATCTGTCCATGACTTTTCATGGGGGGTGTGTCCCTTCAGTATTAACCAGTGATCTTTGACAACTGGAAGAAAACATTTCTCAGTGAATATTGTGATAATGGATTTTATTTCATATTTTTTATCCTTTCAGGATTTGAAAGTATTCTTGAAGGGCTGTTTGGACCTGCATTATTAAAAGATCTCAGTTTATTTAAAGGTATTCGAAATATTTATGGTATTTCAATTTCTTTCTGGTTACTGATTCTTTGGTGATTTGTTTTTTTTCAGTTTCATATGGGTTAAAGCTGTATCTATGTAAGCATATTTTTGTGTTTAGTTTATATTGTTAATATATGCATATGAAGCATACATTAATTAGTGAGAAGCTAGGAATTGAGAATGTTTAGCGATAAGGGGTTGGAGGGTGTGATGGTAAAAATTTTAAGGCATCCTGTGAGCGTAGAGCACATGTTTTTGCATGTGTGAGGCCCTGGGTTTGATCTCTAAAACCACCAGAGTTTTAAGATAAATATGAAACACACCTACTACTTGATGAGGTTTTCTTAAACAAAATTTTTCAAATTAGTTCTGATTTGTTTTCTTAAATTTCTGTTTTATGATTATTAAAACTTGATTTTCTTTCTTTTGCAGAGTGTGAACCTGAAAGCATTTCTGATTGGACTTTTGATGAAAATTGTCTGTTCTGTTGTTTGAGAAGAGATAAAGTAAAGGTAACCAAAGACTCTTGTGAAACTTGTCTAGTATGATATTTTAGCTTCTTAAAAAAAATTCATTTTAAGCTAGGCGTAGTGGCGCACACCTTTAATCCTAGCATTCAGGAGGCAGAGGCATGCAGATGCCTGTGAGTTGGAGGCCATCCTCGTCTACATAGCAAGTTCCAAGCCAGCTGGGGCTACAGGGAGATCTTATCTCAAAAAGACACACATACACACACACACACACATATATATATATCCTGACATACATTGCTTTATGTATATATTTATTTATTCACCAGGCAGAAGAAATAACTTCTATTTCATTGTAGGAATTGACTGTGGTTTCTGCTCTGCTTTATTGCTTTGCAAACATTTCAGTTACTTAAAACCTAGTAGTGGGTTACTGTCTTTTTTTTTTTTTTTTTTTTTTTTTTATGGTATCCTGTTTCCCATGGTACCATGGTTCCCTGCTGCGAAGCCATGGAAACATTTTGATTTCTTCTTTTCTGCTGTACACATTAACAAGCGTCTCTCAGTTTTTCCCTCTGATGAATTTCATTCGTTTTCATCTCTTTTACTGGTTCTGTAGCATTATTTCTGGACTACTGAAATAACATGATTTGTATTAAACAATAAGCTTTCTCTAGTCTTGGAAATATATTATCATATACTTGTTCTCTTTAACTTGAAAATCTCTTTCCTTCCAGTGAATGATACATCTATGCTCCCTTTGCTGTTTAACCTTTTATACTATTGTGACGAATGTTATTTATACCAATCATTTGTCACTTGGTATTTTGACTCACTTGTTCCTCTTTTTCTGAAAATGTTTGAACTTATGTTCCTGACTTCCTTGTTAATTGCTAAAGATTGCCATGCTTACATCTTCTTTATCTCCCTTATATGTATCCACTGTCCCGTTGCTTAGGATTGTTGGAAAAGTATGTTTTAAAATCTGAAATCCACCATGTAGCCAATTTAAGAACTTTTTATGTACTTTAGTTGCTTTACCTTGTTTTCTTCATGAAAAAAATTGTTGCTGTGGCTAGCCATGATGGTCTCTTTTCCATAAGTAATGAGGTTGTTTTGAAATTTTTTATTTTTGAAAAGGAGAGTACAAAGTAAAGCAACATTGTCAAGAGTAAACTACAGATGAGGTTGATTTTTGATGTTTAAACACTGTTTGTATAGCATGTATATGCCAGATGGTGGCTATTATTGAGCAGACCATTTAATAGGAATTGTACTGGAATAGAAGGGCCAGTTCTTTTCAGGTTAGGGTTGGGAAGAGAGCTATTCTGTGCCTGGTAACAAGTACATTATATTACTTTGATATCATTGAGAGTTTTCTGTTGATGTATAAGGGCAGTATACTGTATGAATATTTTTAGGAGAAAGTAGAAATAAGACCTGAGACAATACAGCATTTAAGAAAGCTGGTTTTGCTATTTGGAGTTCTGTAGTTTTTAGTTGGCTTTCTAACTAGAATGTTTGGGGAGGGGTGAGTGTATGCATCTGTGTGGACATGTGTGTGCAGGTGTATTCACCTGTCTGTGAATATGTGGAGGCCAGTGGTTAACTCTGGGTGTCATCATCTATTGTTCCTCACCTTATTTTTGAGACAATATCTCTCACTGAACCTGGAGCTCACTGTTTTAACCAGACTAGCTGACCAGTAAGCCTCTGGGATCTGTCTGGTTCCTGTTGTCCCCCTTTCCCAGTGCTGAAGTTTCAGGTATACATTGCTAAATACAGTCTTTGTATTTATTTTTAAAAAGTATGTAAGTGAAAAAAAGTAATAAAGTAGCCTGTCTTCTTTGGTAAAAAAGAACAAAACGTCACCTATAGTTTATGATAGCCCCTCTTTTGTGAGGGATATATTCTAAGATTTCTGGCAGATGCTTAAAATCACTGGTAGTATTGAGTCCTGTATATTCACCATGTTTTTCTTGTGTATAAATGCCTATAGTTTAATTTATAAACTAGGCACAATAGATTAACACCAATAATTAAAAAGTGGTGAACAGTCAGAACATGTTTTCTGTTTATGCCTTCTACTTAGAAATTTAGTACCTTTTCTGCCTTAACTAAGTTTGTTGCATTGTGGCTGTTAACTTTGTAGCACCAGTTTAATTTTCCTTCACAGTTTCACATATTGATCTTTTATTACTATATGCCTGTTAGCAACCTCAGCATATTATTTCCCCCCTAATTAAATCAAGAATTTTCACTTACGTTAAATACTTTATGACGTTAGAATTGCCAGACTCACTGATTAAATCAAGAATTTTCACTTACGTTAAATACTTTATGACATTAGAATTGCCAGACTCACTATACTAATGCTTTGGGGACATTATTGAGTAAAATAAAAGGATACCTTAGGACATGCACTGTGACACCATGGCATTTGATCTAATAACTGAGATGGCCACCAAGTGACTAAGACAACTGATGAACAGTTAGATGTGCTGAACCAAAGTGAGGCAGCATGAGATTTCATGATACTTTAACAGCACACACTTTAAAACTTGTAATTTCTGGGGCTGTAGAGATGGCTCAGTGGTTAAGAACACTGGCTGTTCTTGCAGAAGACCTGGGTTTGAGTCCCCGCACCCACATGGCAGCTAACAACTGTCCGTAACTCCAGTTCCAGGGATCCGACAGCTTCTCTGTCCTCTGCAGGCATTGCACAACATGGGTGCACTTACCTACATGCAGGCAGTACACACATACACATAAAAATAATAAATAAAATATTTTTTTAAAAACTTGTAATTTCTAGAATTTTACATTTCATATTTTTACGCTATAGTTGGCCATGGGTAACTTAGACTATTGAAAGTAAAACGGCCAATAAGAGAAACCACTCGAGTTAAATAGGTGAGCCATACTTTAAGAAACCACAGAAGTTAGCAAATATAGTTTACAGGTAAAGGCAACCATCTTTTGAGCATCCACTGTGTGCTTATTACTTTTTTATATGTTACTATTTAATCCTCAAAACAACCCTGTGGAATTGGTTAAAGATACTCCAACTTTACAAAGAAACAGTTGGAAAGGGTCAGAGAGATTGTTACAGGCTATCTATTATTGTTCAGATAGCTTTTCTGAGCAATTTCAGAAAATTCATCTCTGTTTTTAGTGTTAATGCAATTTGTTTACAAAAATAGCAATAGGATCATGGAAAGTGGAGAGCAAGAATAATTAAGTAGGACATAGAATTTCTACTTGGAAAGAGAGAAAGAATAAGGGTAAATGAATTTGATTACATTTGAAATTGCCAGTTTTAGCTGTTAGGGATTAGCAAGTTCCCAACTCCCTAGCTTGCTTGCTTGCTTGCATCTTTCCCTTTTCATTTTGTGTTTATTGGGTTAAAAAAGTAGGTAATTAGAATAAGCTGAGAATTTTCATAAATTTGGAAAATTTTGAATGTGTGCACGTGCCAGGTATATAGTCATAATCCTCCGTATTATTCATCAGCTTCTTAAACCAATTTTGGGAGGGGTGCTTGGTTGTTTTATTTATTTATTTTTGTTTGTTTGTTTGTTTTTGAGACAGGGTCTCCTGCAGCCCCGACTGGCCTGGAATTCTCTATGTAGACCAGTCTGGCCTTTATCTCACAGAGTTCCACCTGTCTCTGCTGCTTGAGTACTGGGATTAAAGGCATATGCCACTATGCCGGCAGGATTTTTTTTTTTTTTGAAACAGTCTTTTTATATGCTAGGAGGTCTCACACTCCAGTCCTTCTGCCTCAGTCTCCGGAGTGCCACCATGCATACCCGTGTGCCCCCCTCCCCCTTCAGCTTCTTTGAGAAATAATTGTAGGCATAAGCTGGCTGTGATGGTGGCATATACCTGTAATCTCAGTACTCTAGGAGTGGAGGTAGGAGGATGGAGAGTTTGAGACCAACCTAGGCTATATTATGAGACATTGTTGTCTTAAAAACAAAAATAAGGCTTATGAAACAGATGGAAAGGGAGCTGAAGAGATGGGTCAGCAGTTAAGAACACTGAATGTTCTTGCAGAAGACCCAGGTTCAAATCTCAGCACCCACATGGCAGCTAACTGTCCGTAACTCCAGTTCCAGGGGATCCAACAGCCTCTTCTGTCCTTTGCGGGCATTGCATGACACGGATGCACTTACCTGCATGCAGGCAATACATGTATGCACATAAAAGTAATAAATAAAATATTTTTAAAAATACAGGTGGAAGAATTGTACAGTAAATTTCTATATACTATTTAACCAGATTTCCTAAGTGTTAAAATTTCATATACCACAGTGCACTTAACAAAAATCAGGAAATTATCATTGATACCAACCAATACTACTTTTTACTGTATAGACTTCAAAATGGGCAAGTTGTCCCAGTGATAATCTCTTTTCTGGTCCAGGAGCCCATCTTAGATCACACTTTGTGTTTTGTTTTTGAAACTCCTTCAGTCTGGTATAGTTTTCACTTTCTCTTTGCCTTTTGTACTACAGACACGTGGGGAATACTGGTAGGTTAGTTTATAGAATTTCCCTCCATTTAGGGTTATCTGATGATTCCTCATGATTGAATATAGGCTATGCATTTTCAGTTGGAAAGCCATACAATTTCACCATGTTAGGAAGCACATGATGATCGTTCTTTTGATATTGCAAATTAGATTTGCTTGATTAGTTGGCTCAGTTTATAGTACAAGTCTAAATTGTGTTATTTTCAGAGACCTTTCTAATATAGAGAAAGATTAAGGAAAACCATTTAAGGTAGTTGTGTAACTGATTGGAAGTACAGTATATAGGAAGAAAACCTACTTGGAAAGTTTTGGAGCAAATGGAACTTTGAGGAATAAAGTATAAATATTGAGATTTCATTTTACGAAGTAGGAAAAATAAAATAGGAAAGAAGATAGAATGGTAGAGTAAGAGTTTCCCATTCTGCATTAGGTGTCTTCCAGGTTCTATGTGTAATGAGTAGGAGGATGTGTTGTGTTTGCTGTACTAACATAGATTCCTGTGTCA